GCCTCGAAACGTTGCTGCAGCCTGTAGATGGTCCGAACGTTGACCTGGAAGTGATTGGCAACGGCTTGTACAGTGTGGCCAGCTTCAAGCCTTCCTAGCGCCTGGTCCCTCCGAGCCGCGTGAGTTGCGGCATCCTGCTGACGTAATGTGAATGTTTCAGGTTTGGGGGTGCATTTTATAGGTCTGGTCCCTGCGAACAGCACGTGCAGCATGAGTTGCATGAAAAGCAGGTTGCGTTTTTTAGGTCATTTCCTGAGTTCCATGCTGAGTTTGGGAAGGAATGTCTTTGCTCAGGTAAAGTTGGAGATGTTGTGAAAAATGTACAATCAAAATATTAAATGAGTTTACAGTTATCCGTTTCTGCGATGGAAAATTCCAAACTGACGGGTTTTTTTCTGCTTAGTATACATTACGAATTCCCCATTCACGACATTATTTGGTGCATGTTTTGAAATGTAAATATTTTTGAAACCCAATATTCAAACACCAACGCCAAAGTAAGAGAGTGTTTACAAAATCACATTTACAAAGATGCCTGTTATACAACATATTTTTCACCTTTAGGTGCATCACATTCATCAAGGAATTCCTCATGCATTTTACAATCAATAACAAATGGTCTCTGTTCCCAATATCAAGTGAAACAAAAAGGTGTGAAAACAAACACTGTACTGTGTTTATTTTAAATGTAAAGAAAGACGGATTCACATTTTCTCAGATTTTGAGGTTGCATAGTTAAATCAATTTTCGTCATTTACTGCGTGCCACTCTACACACTGGAGGTATACCTTTACACATAACATACACGTCCATTTGATAGATAATCATTAACATTCACGTCTATTTAATACATAATCATAAACATACACGTCCATTTAATACAGAATCATAAACATACACGTCCATTTGATACAGAATCATAAACATACACGTCCATTTAATACATAATCATAAACATACACGTCTATTTAATACATAATCATTAACATTCACGTCCATTTAATACATAATCATAAACATACACGTCTATTTGATACATAATCATAAACATACACGTCCATTTGATACATAATCATAAACATACACGTCCATTTGATACATAATCATAAACATACACGTCCATTTGATACATAATTATAAACATACACGTCCATTTGATACATAATCATAAACATACACGTCCATTTAATACATAATCATAAACATACACGTCCATTTGATACATAATCATAAACATACACGTCCATTTGATACATAATCATAAACATACACGTCCATTTGATACAGAATCATAAACATAATCATAAACATAACATACACGTCCATTTGATACATAATCATAAACATACACGTCCATTTGATACATAATCATAAACATACACGTCCATTTGATACATAATCATAAACATACACGTCCATTTGATACATAATCATAAACATACACGTCCATTTAATACATAATCATAAACATACACGTCCATTTGATACATAATCATAAACATACACGTCCATTTGATACAGAATCATAAACATACACGTCCATTTGATACATAATCATAAACATACACGTCCATTTGATACATAATCATAAACATACACGTCCATTTGATACAGAATCATAAACATACACGTCCATTTGATACAGAATCATAAACATACACGTCCATTTGATACAGAATCATAAACATACACGTCCATTTGATACATAATCATAAACATACACGTCCATTTGATACATAATCATAAACATACACGTCCATTTGATACAGAATCATAAACATACACGTCCATTTGATACAGAATCATAAACATACACGTCCATTTGATACATAATCATAAACATACACGTCCATTTGATACATAATCATAAACATACACGTCCATTTGATACATAATCATAAACATACACGTCCATTTGATACATAATCATAAACATACACGTCCATTTGATACAGAATCATAAACATACACGTCCATTTGATACAGAATCATAAACATACACGTCCATTTGATACATAATCATAAACATACACGTCCATTTGATACATAATCATAAACATACACGTCCATTTGATACATAATCATAAACATACACGTCCATTTGATACATAATCATAAACATACACGTCCATTTGATACAGAATCATAAACATACACGTCCATTTAATACATAATCATAAACATACACGTCCATTTGATACATAATCATAAACATACACGTCCATTTGATACAGAATCATAAACATACACGTCCATTTGATACATAATCATAAACATACACGTCCATTTGATACATAATCATAAACATACACGTCCATTTAATACATAATCATAAACATACACGTCCATTTGATACATAATCATAAACATACACGTCCATTTGATACATAATCATAAACATACACGTCCATTTGATACATAATCATAAACATACACGTCCATTTGTTACATAATCATAAACATACACGTCCATTTGATACAGAATCATAAACATACACGTCATTTGATACATAATCATAAACATACATAATCATAAACATACACGTCCATTTGATACATAATCATAAACATACACGTCCATTTGATACAGAATCATAAACATACACGTCCATTTGATACATAATCATAAACATACACGTCCATTTGATACAGAATCATAAACATACACGTCCATTTGATACATAATCATAAACATACACGTCCATTTGATACAGAATCATAAACATACACGTCCATTTGATACATAATCATAAACATACACGTCCATTTGATACAGAATCATAAACATACACGTCCATTTGATACAGAATCATAAACATACACGTCCATTTGATACATAATCATAAACATACACGTCCATTTGATACATAATCATAAACATACACGTCCATTTGATACATAATCATAAACATACACGTCCATTTGATACAGAATCATAAACATACACGTCCATTTGATACATAATCATAAACATACACGTCCATTTAATACATAATCATAAACATACACGTCCATTTGATACAGAATCATAAACATACACGTCCATTTGATACATAATCATAAACATACACGTCCATTTAATACTTAATCATGTCGTCCAGTAGTCAGTATTTTGTTCTTACACACAAAATGTCAAATGTTAAAAAGTCGTCTCACTATAATTGTATGGGTGTGCGATAAAAAGAGAACTTTACTGTTCTTTTCACACACAACAAAATTATCACAACACTTATCATAGTTTGTTTCATATGCACCATCAGGGGGGAAATATAATATGATTCGTTTCTGTGTAACTGTATGTAGGTGGATTCAGTGCCGCGTGAGCGCATTTCTCGCAGAATGTTCACTTTTCAGATCTGATAAAACATGAGCGTCAGAAACAAACTCGACATCCCAGGGGTTAAGGACATTGCGTCGAAAGCAGGACACTCGCCCTTTTGACCTATCAAAGGTGATGCAGTTCTTTCATGACTCTTACAAGGACAACACGACAGCAGGAACTTATAACATGCAGCCAACCAAGTTAGTCATTATAACAGCCTCTTCTGTACCCTTCACAAATATAGGGGATACCCGCCGAAAATAACTTAAACTTCCAGCAATGTAAGAGTAAGTGATAATAATAATAATTAATTAATCGGGAACACGTAACAACAATGTATGAAGCATGACAGTAACATTCTGAATATTCCAACATTGTAAGAGGCAGTAGATTCTCCTTGATAATATGATCTGATAACGAATGAATTGCGAACACCTAACAACCAGTTGTGAAGTATGACTTTAAACGTCATGACCGACAACGATCGTGAAGGACGACAGAGGTAGGGTGGGAAATGTTACGTTTCAGGATATGTAGTGCGTAATACCGCTACGAATTACGTAAATTGCGTATGAGTGAAGATGACTACTTACGATTCGTGCGTGATGAGTGCGAACGATCGTGCTTTGACAGACGTCATCCCGATGGTCTTGCAAGAGGGACAAACGATGGAGACAGGATATTGTTATCGCCAGAGAGGTGTGGGGTACCCTGAGTTACAATGATGCAACCCCACTCCATAAGCGATTCACCCCCAAATAGTGCATACGGTCTCAGGTTAACATTGTCTTCATGTTTATATCGACATCATCGACTCATCTGAAAACAAGATACGTGACCAGTGACGATTACCCCAGTTTCGATGTCATGTACACAATTAGCGTCTCAGGGCAACATGACAATATGTCAGGAACGGATTATAATCTCCTCACTCGTAGACCCGTGAAGATCCGGGGTAGAATAGGTCTTCAGCAACCCATGCTTGCCACAAAAGGCGACTATGCTTGTCGTAAGAGGCGAAAAACGGGATCGGGTGGTCAGGCTCGCTGACTTGGTTGACACATGTCATCGGTTCCCAATTGCGCAGATCGATGCTCATGCTGTTGATCACTGGATTGTCTGGTTCAGACTCGAATATTTACAGACCGCCGCCATATAGCTGGAATATTGCTGAGTGCGGCGTAAAACTAAACTCAATCACTCACTCCTCACTCGTAACCCGTACTTGTCTGATAATGAAGGTTAGCAGCAAATTGATTCACGGTTGAGCTCGATTTCGCAGAGCCTTGTTTGAGACCAATCGAAAGAAGTATTGGTCCACAGCGATAAGTCGACCAGAATCAGAAATGACACCCTAGAGACTGCACCAAGCTATCGGTTGTGTTTTGGTGTTATGATTTGCAGACATTAACGTTTTTGCATAGGATGTCAACACTTAAGTTAGATATAATACTTGGCAATAACGTGTATACTTATGAACCCCTACTTTTTAGTGTACATATTAAGAACTTCACAAATGAATCAGACCACTGAGAGAACATCCAATGGCGAGAACGCCAGATGAATAGTGAAGACGATAACACATTTTCAATGTGTATTGACGAGATTTGAAGGATCTTAACTAAGATTCATCTTAAGTATGTTTGATTCTTTTAAAAACGACACCTCAACACTGAGGTCAAAGCTCAAGATCAATATGGTTTATTCTACATAAGGTCCCGGCCATACACATAGTGTTAAAATGACAAGCAATGTATGGACAGTGCAAATAGTTGAATGCATCTTAACATTGTGAGATTATCAGACTCTTCCTTAACGACAGCGAATGTTTTAAAAACAGGGCTAATTTTACATGGACAGATTCGTCTTCTGATGATACAATTCTTCTAAGTGTTTCCCTTGTAGGGTGACCCAAATATTTCTGTGGAATATACTCCTTTCTTATATCAGCATAACATAAATAACAGATGATATTCGTCTTCGATATCCGCCATACAGACAGGGCAAAATCTGAGATGTTTGGCGAGTGACTGTTACGGCCAGTATTCATCATTATATCTGTCAAACCAAGTCTAAATCTAATAACTGTGTTTCTAAGTTTCTTGCTTGTAATGTTTGATAGATATCTCTCAGGTTAGATCATTGTTTTAAAGGATCTATATATATACATCAAATCTAGAACTTAACAAAGGGTATTCATCCAATTCTCACCGGCTGAGTTCATAAACAGCCACTCGTTACCAACACCTTAGAAAATCAACACAAATACAAATCCCTACGAAAATAACAGATATCATATATTTGCTGTCCATGTTGCATAACTACGATTATCTAAATTAAGCAGCATGTTAAAAGAGTTTCTGGGTAGACGCTGTTCATGCATTTGGTCAAAGGTAGTGCTCAGTACTATTCTACTACTGAAATTTACAGCTGATACGAACTATTTTACGGAGGAACTACTTCTTTATTCAGATGATGCGACCTTTCGATACAGATTTTTGTATCGAATTGTCATATTGTCATACCTGCTTGACAGCGATACAGGAATCTGTATCGACACGTCGCATCACCCAGTGGTAGATAATACACGTCGCCTTGCTGGGACATACAAAGTTTTTTCCAATTCTTGTCCTGGGGTCAGTCTGTCCTTCCACCAATGACACCATCACACACAGACAGTCCCATCTCAAACACATTCAGTATGGTCCTATTTACCTTCGTGCCATTGTTGGCACATGTTTCGACAGCATTCTTAGAGATGTTAAAGTTATTATGCCAGCTGTCACTATTAGGGGTCCACACCTGAATAACTGTGCGAGTTGTAATTGTCAACGATAACGAAGTCAAGGATTATGTTGGTATCGTTATAAAGAATATTGGGAGAAGGAAGTAGTGGGTGTACGTCATGAGCTGCCAAAGACATGTTCAGCAACACCTGTCTATCAATAAAACAACATTTGTTCCTACACGAAGATGAAACAGTGATTTACACAATGAGATACTACGACAGAGCATGTGTTTATGAATCACCATCAACTGGTGATGATACCAGGTGTTTGCATTCTCTCCTGTCCACATCGTGAGCTGTTACCCTTTGCAGACTCATCCAGCAGCAAAAGTTACTAATGTCAGATTTCTTTCCACGACACCGTATATAGTCTTCTTGTTGCTATGGCTTGCCTCAATAGTTCCTAAAGAAGAGACAACTTTTCCAAACCTGTGGTGCCATTTGGTCTTCATATTTTCTAGTGATCATGTCTGCGTCATCAGCACAATGTAAATTGCGAATAGTTTCTAGTTCTGATAAACTATGAATATAAATTTGGAAATAGCTTTATTCCTTCGTAATATTTCTACTTTACCCAAGTGTTTACATTGGAAGATGGACGAATATCTTGGTTGGATGGTTGTTTAACGCCGCACTGATCAATATTCCAGCTATATGGAGGCGGTCTGTAAAAGATCGAAGCTGGACCAAACAATCCAGTGATGAACATCGTGAGCCTCAATCTACGCAATTGGGATACAATGACATGTGTCCACCAAGTCAGCAAGTCGGATCTTCAAGGGTCGGAAACATAGACTTGAGACCCTATTAGCTTCTACTATGTGTGAACGCCGGTGATCAAGGTTATAGGTCTCACTATTCTTGATTATTTGTAAGCGGATTATTCTCTTGTGATTACAAGAAATATGACTTGCAAATCATCCTTTATTTCTTCGGGGTTTATCATTGACATTCGCTTTTCTACTCTGTCATAGAGATCAGCAACTATCTTCTCCTTCTCCTCACGTGAGCGACTGTCTGAGAGACCATTCATGAAGGTACTGTTGCTCCAGTTCCTATGGGCCGCCACGTACAGTCTAGCAAACTCTTCCCTGTCATCAATCCCTTCCTTGTCCTTTTTTTCCTTCCAAGTGGTGTAAAATATGTCAGGGATAATAACAGTTTCAGCTGACAAGAGACAGAGACCTGATTGTGAAACTGCTGACAATTTGTCATCAAATGGTTTTCTCAACTGATCCATTTTATAAAGGCAAATTGAGAAATTTGTATTCACAAATTCGTCTTTAGTAATTTTTCCGGAGTCTCTAAATTCCTTCCATGTCTCAGTGAGCAACGTTATCATTGTTTCAACTGTATACTTGACTTCTCCACTGTTCATATCTTCAAACTCGCAGCCAACACAAATAACAAGCAGTCCGCCCTGTTTCATTTCCCTACTTCTCAAAAGTAAGAATGTGTCCAGGTCCACCTCAGCCTGTCGATCTAAAGCCATCTTCTCTTCAGTACTACTTTCAGGGTATTTGTAAACTGAGTCATTATACTTCACTGGAGTCTTCGATAACCAGTGCACAGAGATCATACACATAATGAAATGCATTGAATTTGAAGGTACACATTGTTTATAGAAGTCTGTCCCAGAAGCGAGAACATAGACGTTGTCCTTTTCCAGAAGGTAGGATGGAGAATCAGGAATTGTTCCTGACATACGTTTGAAAAGTGAATTGAAATCATTGACTTCTGTGTCTTCATAGATGATCTGGAACTGAGTGTCTGGACCATGCTGATCTTTCAGAGTTGCCAACAGCTGCCCAATAAAGACCATGGAAGCAGAACCATCAGCTGCCCCATAGTCGCCAATGTTAAACACTGAATCTTTTGCAGTAAATGGAATGGCTTTGGCCCTGTTCAGAATCCTGTCTCGCACTGGATCTGTGTAGATACTTGTTTGCTTCGCGAGAGTTGATCCGTGATTTCCGCTTCCTATTTTCCCATATGGCTCATATGCTTTCGAAGGCCTTCTGCAGTATCTTACAGGCACAGATGCAGGAACTTTGTGTAACCTTAAATGTATTCGAATCATAAAACGGATGGACATCATTGTGGCGATGTTCTAACAGCAGACTTCCTTTGTGACTGTTTGTTTTGTGTTAATGCTGAAAATATAACAGAAAAATAATTATTTTCCAGACAGAAAAAACACTGGGTTTCTTTACCGAAGTTCTACATAAATAGTTACATCCCATCTAAAATTTGCATACAGCAATGTAACTATCATGTATTGGATGACGGCTTGTGTTGCAGATACAATTGTCTGAAATTTGGTTTAGATTCCAATTCTCGGGTGGTGCTTTTGGATACCATGAAATCAACCTTGGTTTGACTACTCTGTTTAGAATACAAGCGCACATTTAGGAGCATTACTAAATGTTTTGGTATGTATATCCGTGCTCGTCTTCGTGCAGTATTTAAGTCATGCGATACAAAAGTTTGCAAAATCTAATTGATTCACAGATGAAACATACTGAACCAAACCTTTTCAAGAAAACGGGGCCTAAGGCCCGTGTCTTATATTGAAGACACAAAACTAAATGATTGATATGAACGTGTCAACCAAAATAGATCAGGCATCAACAGAGACGTTTTCAGTCATCTGTACCAACATTTTAATTCTGCAAATAATGTCATCCTGTGCATAAAAAAACATATACCACCACTCTAGCAGCACGAAATGAAGCCACCTTGCAGAATGTCAAGACAAAGTCATTGGATTAAAGTAAGGTCAGAAATGATTGGGAAATGCTTTTGGCAATTATTTGATAATGGTTGATATTTCAGATTCAAAACTCATATATTATCATTCATTACACTTCGACCTTATATGACATATGAGTAATCACGATTTACCATTCCCTAATCATAATGATTACTCGTAACATATCGAAAAACAGAAAAAATTCCATGGTAGAAACACTTCAAAGAAACAAACTATACTGTGACCCACCTGGCAGGCAGACAGGGTAACAGCGCTATGTAACGCACAGGCAGTACATGTCAGGGACCGTCTCAAAATATCAAGTGTCAGTATCACTGCTGGTCGAGGACTCTAGCGTAATTACAACAGGTGCAACTCGGCTGACGTTAACCCCGTCCCGCAGACGGTATTCGTCCTCGATTTTGAGCCTTTTGCCACACTTCTGGGGTAATTCTCGCAAAAGAAGCATACACAAGCTCTTTAACGTCTGAAAGCTTGAATGTGGTATTATTGCGAGCAATAAAATTCTTACAGCTACCCCAGATCAGCGCGATGGGATTGCGCTCCCAGTGCCGTACTGGTGAACGCAGAACCATGTGGCCTTGTTTTGCAGCTAGTTCGTCAGTGATGTACTGGATTGGCTTTTTGTGCTGCCGGATTTTTTCCATGAGCTGGGACTTTGTTTCTGATTGCCTGTAAGGCAGTATTACTTTTGCTCTGCCAGTCCTTTTTCTATTCCTTTGGAGTAGTTGATTATACAAAACAGGACATCCAGAGTCTTGACCGCCTGACTAGAAGGATCATGTCTGATAACAGAGCCCACCACCCTCGTTCCTCTCTTAACCGTTTATATATGCCAATCAATTCTGGAGGTCGGGGTTTTATTAATGTGGAGGCTCTTCATGATAGAATTTTATTGTGTACTTTTGCACATATTTATTTATCGGATGATCCTCTGGTGATGCATGTCAAGACTCATGATGAAAGCAAGGAATTCTACAGTTATTTTAAGTGTGCTAAGGTTGTTGGACAGAGTCTGAAATTTGAGGTTGATTTTGATGATGGCGTTGTACTGGTGGAGGGTACAGCGATGGGAGTAAACCAGGTGAAGTCCCTCACCAAGTCTGCCCAGAGTCGGTCTTTTGTGGAGAAGCTTTCTGAGAAGCCATTGCATCGTGTGTACATGCAGTGTGTGGAACAGAATAGCAATACCACCGACTCCTTCACCTGGATGAAGTCGGCTGGTCTTAAATGTGAAACTGAGGGCTTCCTTTTTGCTGCTCAGGACCAGTCACTTCCCACTCGTAATTGCCAAAATGTGATTCTTAAAGAAAATATCAATATGAAATGTCGACTATGTAATGAATTTACAGAGACTGTCCAGTGGAAGCCCTTCTTTGGCACAAACAGCATATCTTAAAATACATGATGGCGTGGCTCGTTGCTTTTACCACGTCTCCGCCATGTCTGTGGTCCATCCATGGTACGACCCTGAACATGTCCAGGGCGTCATGGAAAATGATGCTTTCAAACTTTGTGGAATAGGCCCATATACAGCCTCAGAAGAATTCCTGCCAACAAACCTGATCTTGTCCTTTTTGAAAAAGCCAATGAATTTATTTATGTCATTGAATTTCTGTCCCTTTTGACAGCAATGTGATTGGCAAGATTCAGGAAAAGCATGATAAATATGCGGACCTCGCCTTTGAAATGTCTCGCTTGCAACCCAAGTACACTGTCGTCAGGCTCCCTATTGTTCTCGGCGCCCTTGGTTTGGTACCTCCTGATCTCTTGGCGCAGATCAGCAAGGTGCCCGGGTTCTCCACCGGGAGCACAGCCCTTCTGACACTCTGGGTAATGCAGAAGGCTGCAATGTTGGGGAGCCTTCATATTCTCCGGAAACTTCTTGGTGGGTCGTCTAGGCAGTGTTTCCTGGGAGAAGTCCCATTCGCTGTGTGGGCTGCGTGTAGAGGGGCAAGGGCCCTGATCTGATGCTGAGCCTTACCAGCCTGACTGTGCCAGGATCACCCGAACCCTCTCTGCTGCATATTATCTTTAATCTGTAAAACATAACAATAATAGGCCACTTGTATTGCGCATTACTCCATGCTTGATGCCTGCTCGAAGCGCACAGTCACATAAAAAGAGTTCAGAGCTGTTGAAGGAGATAGGTCTTGAGATGACGTCTGAAAAACATTAGATTTGGAGATCTTCTGATTGATTCTGGGAGGCTGTTCCACGAGGATGTCGCTGCATATGAGAAGGGACTCTGGCCATATCTCACAGTCTTGATGTTGGGAATGCGACACAGAAGCTTGGACTCAGAGCGTAGGGATCGAGGGGGAGTGTAGATTGGCAGGAGGTCCTGTAGGTAACCTGGAGCGTCAGCCGGACAGACACCGGTGGGCTAAGCAGAGGATCTTGAAAGTAATCCTGTGCTGCACTTGAAGCCGGTGTAGATCCTTCAGGATTGGAGTGATATGGTCTTGTTTACGGGCGAGTGAAACAATTCTGGAGGTCGTATTCTGTACACGCTGGAGACGATTTATCTGCACAGCAGAGGCTCCAACAAGGAGACTGTTACAGTAGTCGATCCTTGTCATGACTAGGGACATCATGAGAATGATGGCTGATTCTTTGGTCAAATATTTTCGGATGTTGCTGATGTTCCTCAACTGAAGAAAACACATCTTGGTTATTTGACTGATGTGACTGTTCATGGAGAGGTCCGAGTCCAAGATTACACCTAGGTCTTTGACACTCTCTGACACTGGTACCTCAATATCTCCAATAACCAAGGTAGTGAGTCCGGACTCTAAACCACAACACACTCAGCATTTTTTTCAGCATTCAACTTGAGCTCGTTGGTCGACATCCATTTCTGTATGTCATGGCAGCAGAAATCAGAGCTGTATTCTATGAGTCTGTGACACAAGTAAAGCATTTGATAAAGTGTGACATAAAGGCATAATCCATACAGCTGAGCGTTATGGTATTAAAGGTAATCTACTAAATTGGGTTAGAAGATATCTAGTGAGTGAGTGAGTATGGTTTTACGCCGCTTTTAGCAATATTCCAGCAATATCACAGCGGGGGACACCAGAAATTGGCTTCACACATTGTGCCCTGTGGGGAATCGAACCTGGGCCTTCGGTGTGACGAGCGGACCCTTTAACCATTAGGCTACTCCACCGCCCCAGAAGCTATCTAAATGAAAGAACACAGAAAGTGTCATCCAGGGTATAAATTCATCTGAGCGGACTATGTTAGCCGGGGTTCCGCAGGGGTCAGTCTTTGGACCTTTGTTGTTTATGATTTACAAAAAATATTTTACATATGGCATAGATAGTAACATCCGTTTATTTGCTGATGGCACTTCATTATATATGATTATCGAAGATCCAGCAGTTACGACTAGCTGCCTAATCAGTGACCTGGCTACAATCTCATCGTGGGCGAAAAAATGGAAAGTCGCATTTAAAGTCACACAAAAAAACGAATCCAAAATTTTTACTCGGAAAAAGAATTCGAGTTCTAAACTACCACTCCTCGAGAATAATACCGTTACCTGCGAAGTCGAAAGTCATAAGTATTTAGGGATTACTGTGCAGAGTGACTGCACTTGGAGCAAAAATATTGCCGATATCGCAGAAAAAGTAAACCCAATGATAAATTGCTCACCGAAAGTCTCAATAGTAAAACCCTGAAATCATTTATAAACAGTATATATACTACCCGTGTTTGACTATTGCGGTCATATCTGGGCAAACTACACTGAGGAACAATTTCATCTTTTAGATAACTTAGGGATAAATGCTATTCGAACAATATGTGGAGCGGTACGTGGAACTAGCCAAAACAAATTACACGACAAAACAAATATCCAACCCTAAAATATTAATAATATCAATTTTCTTCGACAAAATGGCTAATAACTTAACGCCCGACTATCTAACCAGTCTCGTCCCTCCTTGTGTATGAGATTCAAACCAATACAACCTGAGAAATCATTATAACATAAACTGATGAGCAAAAGAAAGTACACAAGTGTAATTGTTGTTGCAATCCCAAATATGCGTTCTAACTAATAAAATTATTGAAAAACTTTGATTGTATAGAACGCAACCATCATGTTTCATTTGCCAAAATGCAACCAAAAACATTTGTACGCGTTTTGCACGAATTTTTGCAAAATTGTGATTATTGTCCCATGCACCAGCACTTTTCTGACAGAGAGTATAAAACCTGTTTGTCGTGAAGACTGAACAATCACTTGACAGAAATCTCACGAGGAAATGCCAAGATTGACGTCGGCGTAACGAGAACGGGCCAAAGGAATGACACAAATGGCTGCTTTCAACATCGATATTGCAAGGACATTGGGTTGCACAAGACAAACCATAATTCGGCTGTTTAACCGTTTCAGTACGACAGGCCAGACATGTGTCACAACACCCCAATAGGATCGCTATCTGCGGGTTATTCACCTACGCAACTGGATGTTGACGGTGACGTCATCAACAGCCACATCATTGGGTCATCGCGTAAGCCGATTCACAGTGACAAGACGACTTGTAAATCTGAGTAGGTCAATTAATTTCTCTTTCAAATGATCACGAAGTTACCTACACAAAGTGTTTATCTTTTAAAGCCATTTACCTGAGTAGGTTAATTACTTTTTCTTTTAAGCTACCTCCACAAGATTCAGTTAAATAGCTAATCCCTAATTAGCTGGGGTTAATCCATTCTATCAGATAAGGGAGTAAGGTGTGTTTTCTTTGCTCCTTACCTTCTCCACTGTCTCACAACTGGGAGTCTCGCAACTGGGAGTTCTCGCAAATGGGAGTAGGCCTCTGCAGTGGTCATCACTACATCGCTGTTTATTGTTACAATGTCATTTTGCTGATAAAACACGTGTATTGCAGTGTGCTTCAACATACATTTTCCATTTCATCAAAAGGTTTTGTTATTTTTATCTTATTGGAAGAAACACAACCTGTGTACTTTCTTTTGCACATCAGTTTACAAAATATTACTTGCAGAACACATAATTACGAAAACATTTTTACCCGATACTTTTTAACTATGGAACAACTTACCCAAACATTTAATTCATTTAGAGTCCTTGTCCATTTAGAGTTTTAAAAGACTATTGAGGACTGAAAATCCACCTCGTATATGTTTTCATTTCAATTATGGAAGTCGTTTTGCTCATATTGTTCATTGGCTACTGTGACCTCAGTGCTCACAAATACGCGAAAGATACATTTCAGAGAGTCCAGCATGTTCATGTGGACTAGCAAATGAAGATAGTTTTCAATGTTTCTTCACTTGTCCAATATACATTAGAACATGGATATAGCGAACACGGATATAGCGTACAAACGGATATAGCGAACAAATTTAAAAGTACTGTCAATAGTCCTTTATAATATCATTAAAATTATACGCGAATAACGAACTCTTGAGTAGCGAATTAACGGCTATAGCGAACTGATTTACTGCCCCCAAGACCCAATTAACGACGTGATTAGCGAACTCACTCAGTGGCAGCTCAGTGGCAGCTCAGCCACTTAGCGGTATACATCAACCTTGTTGGCTGCGAATCAACATTGTTTGATGGTCATTAATTAATTAACAAAACAAACATGTCGTGTTTAAAAGCTTGACTGGTATACAGGTCTTCAGTTCACTCTCGTCACTATGGCAGGCAAACCTAAAGCTATCACCTTTACACCAAGCTTCAGATAATTCAGGCTGTAGATTCAGGTGTAAAATCTAAGACAAACATCTCTTTTGGCCCCGCCCGCAAAAAGTTAAGAACTGCCAATCACCAAGATGTAGAAGTTGCTCTCTACAAGTGGTTTCAAGGGGCTAGAAGTGAGAACATTCCCTTATATGGTCAGAGTTATGTGGAATGAACTGTCAGATAAAGCAGAAGAAATCCCGGCAGATGTCACGTTGGACGACTTCATCAACGCTGACAATGAAGTTGTTGTAGCCGAACGCCCTACTGAAGACGAGATTGTGACGTCAGTAGCCCAGAGGTTTGCCACGCCCACTGTCACATCCGCTCCCAACTGTGAAGATGATGAACCTCGCCCGAAGCCATCTTTGCTGAGGCCAATGCAGCATTAGAGACACTGCGTCATCTACTTGTTTGTGAAGATTCGAAATATCGAAATACCATGTACTTTTACCAAAAGGGTTACACATTAAATTCAGTTTTATTCGCAAATGCCCATGCAGCTGCACCTGTAAATATGCAGATTCTTGAATCTGTTCATTGTATATTGTAAAATGATAAAATGATTGTTTACTGTAAATTGATGATGTCGACATATCTCATTCCCTATGTATAGCCTATACATGACTAACAGACAAACTATATAATCATTATCTGTCTTTGTCAGGGACAGGTGTTCACGTAAGCTATCAGCTTGTTCACCGATCTCTATTCAATTTTGGTTGAATAGATATGCGTGTAAATCAAACTGCCATCCTCTCTTGGTTTGACACATTCCAATATTGAAATATATTGCAATCGCCCTACAAAAGTTGTAAACATCGTTACCACACGCTTTGGAGATGCTGGGGAATATCAAGTCTAGATTTTGTTGCCCATCGAATAAAGAGTTAATGTCCATAAACGTGAACGTGTCCACTTGTAAATAGGTTTGATCTCATTCAGAAGTGGTTAGAATTCCTTATATGTCAATCAACAAGAAAGTATTATCGACGCACATTTGTAGAAGCTTACTTGCAAAAAACGTTGTCTCTATCACAACAGCTGCTCCTAATACGTACAACCACACTGCACCATCACAACGCACAACTAGGTGAGGTGACTGTGACCGCACACCGTGAGTACAGTCTTTCACAAAACTATCAGATAGCTCGACCTAGTTATTCAAGGAGACGTGTTAACCCCCTGAATGCCGGAGAGACTTTGAAAATTCAAAATATATTCAGCACACAAAGACACTTCTCAGTTTTGCAGAGGTACCTCACAAATCTTTCAATTCTTTGTACAGTATGAATTCCCCATTCATAACATTATTTGGTTAATGTTTGCACACAAAAAGGTGGGAAAACAAGCGCTCTATTGTGTTCATTTTAAATGTGAACAAAGAGGAGTTTCACATTTCACACTGTTACGAATTTTCTCAAATTTTGACTTCACATAGTTATATCAATTTTCGTCATTTACACGAGCCATTCTACACATTTCAGGCACAGCTTTACACATTCATTTGATACATAGTCATGTCGTATAATTGTCAGGATTGTTTTCGTACAGACAAGAAGTCAAATGTTAAAGAGTCGTCTCACTTTAATTGTATACTTAAATTGGCACAAGAAAAATACATCACATGACTGTAAAATGAATTTAGCTTTCTAGTAATATATGCATAAACTGAACAATGCATTGACATTTTATTTACAATGTGAAAGGGATTGAGAACACGTTCTCCAACTTTGCACATTGTATTGACAGGTGTTGTTACTTGGAGTTCCTCGCACATTGACGCTGAGTCATGTTGACATAAGTGAGTGAGTGAGTTTAGCTTTACGCCGCTTTTAGCAATATTCCAGCAATATCAAGGCCGGTCATGTTGACATAAACAGCGATCTTTTGTCATTTACTGGATTGTTAAAATGCTGAATGGAATAAGGCTTTATTAAGAAATTCTAAATCATAATACAGATATGTCAAGAGCAGGTGAGAACAGAACTGCAAAAATGCGTTCACGTTCATTTACTGGCACTATTATTGTCGACATCGTCGTCAATGTTGTCTGTGTCGGCGTGTTCCAGAAGTTCTGATATCGGGTAGGTGCAATACTTGGCTGCAGATAGTGTAGGTCGGTAACGACAGAAATACAATTCCTTTCCAAGTGCTTACATGTATGTTATCAGTTGGTGTACGTGTATGGCTATGAAATAACTATTTCTTTGTGATCAAAAGATATATGAGACGCGAATCATCCTTAATTTCTTCGGGGTTTATATTTGAAATTCGTTTTTCTACTCTATCATAGAAATTATCAACTATCTTCTCCTTCTCCTCACGTGAGCGACTGTCTGAGAGACCATTCATGAAGGTACTGTTGCTCCAGTTCCTATGGGCCGCCACGAACATTCTGGCAAACTCTTCCCTGTCATCAATCCCTTCCTTGTCCTTCTATTCCTTCCAAGTATTGTAAAATATGTCAGGGATAATAACAGTTTCAGCTGACAAGAGACAGAGACCTGATTGTGAAAATGCTGACAGTTTGTCATCAAATAGTTTTCTCAACTGATCCATATTATGAAAGCAAAAAGATAAATTTGTATTCACAAATTCGTCTTTAGTGATTTCCCCGGAATCTCTATTTTCCTTCCATACCTCAGTGAGAAACGTCAGCAGTGTGCCTGAAAGAGACTTGACGTCTCCACTGTTCATATCTTTAAACTCACAGCCAGCACAAATAGCAAGCAGTCCGCCCTGTTTCATTATCCTACTTCTCAAAAGTAAGAAGGTCTCCAGGTCCACCTCAGCCTGTCGATCTTAAAGCCATCTTCTCTTCAGTACTACTTTCAGGGTATGTGTAAACTGAGTCATTATACTTCACTGGAGTCTTCGATAACCAGTGCACAGAGATCATACACATAATGAAATGCATTGAATTTGAAGGTACACATTGTTTATAGAAGTCTGTCCCAGAAGCGAGAACAAAGACGTTGTCCATTTCCAGAAGGTAGGATGGAGAATCAAGAATTGTTCCTGACATACGTTTGAAAAGTGAATTGAAATCATTGACTTCTGTGTCTTCATAGATGATCTGGAACTGAGTGTCTGGACCATGCTGATCTTTCAGAGTTGCCAACAGCTGCCCAATGAAGACCATGGAAGCAGAACCATCAGCTGCCCCATAGTCGCCAATGTTAAACACTGAATCTTTTGCAGTAAATGGAATGGCTTTGGCCCTGTTCAGCATCGTGTCTCGGACTGGTTCTATTAAACCAACTGACTGTTTCCCGAGTGTTCTTCCGTGATTTCCGCTTCCTATTTTCCCATATGGCACGTATACTTTTGACGACCCTCTGCGGTATCTCACAGGTGCTGATGCAGGTACTTTGTGTACCCTTAAATGTGTTCGTATCGCTGAAGAGAACAGACGAATGGACATCGTTGAGGTGGAACTCTTACAACAGACTTCCTTTGTGGCTGTTTGTTCTCTGTCAATCCTGTAATATATTTAAATGCTCATTGTTTTGTTGACACAACAAGGAACTAAAGAAGTACTCATGTGTATGTTCACTAATGAAAAACTAGCTGTCCCACCGCGCTCAATTACAATATATTCACCATTCAGTAATCCAGTTCCCTATTTTCACCTACACCATATCTCTCTCTCGTGTTTTCTCAGGTGAACCTTTCAGGTGCCGTTAAATGCATTTATGAAGCATTCCACAGGTGGGCAGGAAACACCCATTTCCCCCTAAATTCTGGTATCATCAATAATTTGTTGTCGCAATCATACAGCAAACGTTCATATAGCCCTTTATCTTAATGTAAAATACTTTCATTTCATTGGTCAATGACGCTTTAAGAATTTTCTGTGTCCCCCCTCCCAGTAGGGTGACTGGAAAAAAAATTTACCCGCCAAACTCTCCGCTGAGAAGCTGTATTGTTAACAATCGTATGACGTCAAAATATGAAGCATGCAGATCACGGAGTTCGAAAACCGTTCGATTAGCTGTTTAAGAGTCAACTATGTACACATTTATTTTACCGACTTTCACCCCTTTATTTAAACGAGAGCGGAAGGTCGCGGGTTCGATCCCCGACCGCGTCATACCAAAAGATGCTAAAATATGGTACTTGTTGGTCCCTGCCTGGCGCTCGGCAATAATGGGTACAACAAGGACTGGTCGACTCGGAGTCAGTATAATGTGTCTGAGTGGGGTATTCATTCTTCTCTGCGTCGTGGTATCTCAGTGAGCTAGCACTATAAAACCAGCTTCAGTCTGGGCTAGTACAAGCAGCCGCACATACACATACAAACGCATGCACGTCGTCATATGAGCGAAATATTCTCAAGCACGACGTTTAAACCCAATTTCACCTCACCTTTATTTAAACTAGTTTATACATTGAATCCTGTCCACACTCAACTTAAACATAATTAATAATTTTTATAGCAGTTTTAAGCTGGTCAGAATATGTTTCACTGATGTCAAAAAGCCAGTCGAGAGGCAGACGGCATTTTGTTTACATGTCATATAGTCGATAGCGAATGTCTAGATTTTGTTGTCCATCGAATAAAGAGTTTGCGTCCATTTATGTACAATATATCCACTTGCACATAGGTTTGATCTCATTCAGAAGTGGTTAGAATTTGTCAATCAACAAGAAAATATTATCAACGCACATTCGTACAAATATAGTTACAAGAACGTGGTCTCTATCACTGCAGCTGCACCTAATATGTACAACCACACTGCACCATCACAACGCACAGTGACCTGACTGACCGCACACCGTGGCAACAGTCTTTCACAAAACTATTAGATAGCTCGACCTAGTTATTTAACGAGACGTGTTAACCCCCTGAGTGCCGGAGAGACTCTGAAAATTCAAAAATATTTTAAACACACAAAGACTTCTCAGTTTTGCTGAGGTACCTCACAAATTTTGGTCATTTACGCGAGCCAGTCTACACATTTGAGGCATAACTTTACACATAAACATACATATCCAGTTGATACTTAATCATGTCGTTCAGTCAGGATTTTGTTCGTACACACACGATGTCAAATGTTAAAAAGCCGTCTCACTATAATTGTATTTGTGTGCGATGAAAAGAGGAGAAATTATAATCTTATGGAAAACCTCTGAACAACTGTCTATTAGTGGCGAGCCTCTGAACAACTGTCTACTAGTGGAGAGCCCCTGAACAACTGTCTATTAGTTGCGAGCCTCTGAACAACTGTCTTCTACTGGAGAGCCTCTAAACAACTGTCTTCTAGTGGAGAGCCTCTGAACAACCGTCTGCTAGTGGAGAGCCTCTGAACAACTGTCTTCTAGTGGCGAGCCTCTGAACAACTGTCTTCTAGTGGCGAGCCTCTGAACAACTGTCTATTAATGGCGAGCCTCTGAACAACTGTCTTCTAGTGGCGAGCCTCTGAACAACTGTCTTCTAATGGCGATCCTCTGAACAACTGTCTTCTAGTGGATTACAGCTGAACAACTGTATCCTAGTGGAGAGCATCTGAACAACTGTCTATTAGTGGCGAGCCTCTAAACAACTGTCTTCTAGTGGCGAGCCTCTAAACAACTGTCTACTAGTGGCGAGCCCATGAACAACTGTCTACTAGTGGAGAGCCTCTGAACAACTGCCTATCAATCGCGGGCCTCTGAACAACTGTCTTCTAGTGGCGAGCCTCTGAACAACTGTCTGCTAGTGGAGAGCATCTGAACAACTTTCTGCTAGTGGAGAACCTCTGAACAACTGTCTTTCAGTGGAGAGCCTCTGAATTACTGTCTGCTAGCTGAGAGCCTCTGAACAACTGTCTACTAGTGGATTACAGCTGAACAACTGTATCCTAGTGGAGTGCATCTGAACAACTGTCTGCTAGTGGAGAGCCCCTGAACAACTGTCTCCTAGTGGGGAGCCTCTAAACAACTGTCTGCTAGTGGAGAACCTCTGAACAACTGTCTCCCAGTGGAGAACCGCTGAACAACTGTCTTCTAGTGGAAACCTCTAAACAGCTGTCTCCTAGTGGAGAGCATCTGAAGAACTGTCTGCTAGTGGAGAACCTCTGAACAACTGTCTCGCCAGTGGAGAGCCTCTGAACAACTGTCTTCCAGTGGAGAGCCTCTGAACAACTGTCTGCTAGTGGAGAACCTCTGAACAGCTGTCTGCTAGTGGAGAGCCCCTGAACAACTGTCTGCTAGTGGAGAGCCTCTAAACAACTGTCTGCTACTGGAAAACCTCTCGACAACTGTCTCTAGTGGAGAACCTCTGAACAACTGTCTTTCAGTGGAGAGCCTCTGAATTACTGTCTGCTAGTTGAGAGCCTCTGAACATCTGTCTCCTAGTGGATTACCGCTGAACAACTGTATCCTAGTGGAGAGCATCTGAACAACAGTCTGCTAGTGGATAGCCACTGAATTACTGTCTGCTAGTGGAGAGCCTCTGAACAACTGTCTGCTAGTGGCGAGCCTCTGAACAACTGTCTCCTAGTGGAGAGCCCCTGAACAACTGTCTTTTAGTGGAGAGCCTCTGAAAAACTGTCTGCTAGTGGAGAGCCTCTGAACAACTTTCTTTTAATGGAGAGCCTCTGAACAACCTTCTTTTAGTGGAGAGCCTCGGAACAACTGTCTGCTAGTAGAGAGCCTCTGAACATTTGTCTTCTAGTGGAGAACCTCTGAACAACCGTCTGCTAATGGAGAGCCTCTGAACAACTCTCTGCTGGTGGAGAGCCTCTGAACAACTGTGCAGCTGGCAGTGGAGAGTTTCTGAACATCTGTCTGCTTGTGCAGAGCCTCTGAATATATGTATGCTAGTAGAGAACCACTGAACATGTGTCTCCTAGTGGAGAACCTCTGAACATCTGTCTACTAGTGGAAAGCCTCTGAACAACTGTCTTCCAGTGGAGAGCCTCTGAACATCTGTCTGCTAATGGAGAGCCTCTGAACAACTGTCTCCTAGTGGAGAGCCTCTGAACATCTGTCTGCTAATGGAGAGCCTCTGAACAACTGTCTTTCTAGTGGAGAGCCTCTGAACAACTGTCTGCTAGTGGAGAGCCTCTGAACATCTGTCACACATATGTCGTAGTGATGATATGACCTTGGTGTAACTCGCTGTTCACCATGCCCTGGGCGATGTACAACGGTACCTGTCTGACTCTAACAAAAATATCTTAGAATCGATTCTGAGAAACCGTCCCAAACTTAACGTGTTACATTTAATTTCTCTCTAAAAGGCACACTCAACGTCAAACGTCACACGTCCAAAAAACACTTCTTGTTTCTTTCAATCTGGAAACCTGGTTGCATACTTTCTCTGGACGGCAGTTTATATGCCCACGGTGATGGAATACGGGTTTTAGAACACAAACGTTCATTATCAGATATGATTTGTATCAGTCAGGTAGATAACAATATCACAATGCATGAGACCAATCTGTTTTAAACAGAACAATTCCACACGTGAACAGATTGTGGAGATGTATGAGAATGTTGTTAATGTCGTACTTGTATCAACCATCGAGTAGGAATTGCAGACTGATGACCTTGATGTTATGAATCAAAATATTATAACACCATAATAAAATACTTTAACACTATACACACCATAAGCCAATAACCACTCAGCCCCCTTCACGTGACGTCACTCCTTTCTCAACAGAATGAGCAGGGATTGTTATACCAAACTACACTCTCTCAAAAAAGAAACGCAACCCCTATCTTAATATCTGACATCATTTCTAGAATAAAGATGGTGAATGTAAATTAGAATTTTCTTCAAAATACTGTTAATACGTTCCCATCTGATCAGTATAAGCTCCCAAACGGAACCATTGTCACACATGATGACCTTTGTATCCGTGTTATTTGAGAAAGTGCGAAATTGTCATGTACAAAATGCTAAAAGCCTGTTGCACGTGCAAATCGTTGAAAACACAGTTCATGTAGAGGGTTTTAAAAGCACGCGTAGTTTGTAATTTTCTCTCATAATTTGCTCTGCAAATCAAGTTCGAAAATGCCCCGTTTGAGTACAGCAAATCGAAATATTGCCATTGGTCGCATTGAGGCCGGGGAAAGCTTTGGAACAGTTGCCCGTCATCTAAACGTACACAAAACAACAATCTCACGACTTTGGAATCGTTACACCCAGTTCCATGCAATTGAAGATCGTCCCAGGAGCGGTAGACCTAGGATCACCACACCGGCTCAGGATCGCTTTATTCGACTCAGCCACCTACGTAATCGGCATGCCACACCCACCATCACTGCAACACAGGTGCCAGGTTTTGAAGAAAGTATCGGCCCAAACCATCAGGAACCGTTTACATGAGGCAAATTTACGTGCAAGAAGACCAGTTGTTGGGCCCGTCTTGAAACCTAGCGTAAATTGAGAGTTCGATACATAGTTTATAAATCTCAACCATACCCGTACCAAAAAAAAGATCCGGATTAGAATTGGTCTTCAGTAACCCATGCTTGTCGTAGGAGGCAACTAACGGGATCGGATGGACTTGTTTGACAAGTCATCGTATTCCAATCGCGTAGATCAATGCTCGTGCTGTTGATCTGGTCAGTCTGGTCCAGACTCGAATATTTACAGACCGCCACCATATAGCTGGTGAAATATTGCTGAGTGTAGCCTCAAACAACAAACAAACAAAATACATCTCAATCAAACATCGCAAGAGATATCGTGTTTTAATCGTTTCATCTGTCAAAATCATCATGCTCTTTTCCTTATGATGAGGTAAGTCAAACCCATATTATTCTTAAACTCATCTGGACTGATAAAAGTCATGTGTTTCTCAATAGTTGCAAAGAGTTCATCAACTATCTTCTCCTTCTCCTCCTGTAAGCGACTGTCTGAGAGACCATTTATGAAGGTGCTGTTGCCCCAGTTCCTATGAGCCGCCACGTACATTCTTGCAAACTCCTCCCTGTCATCAATCCCTTCCTTGTCTTTCTTCTGCATCCAATCATCATAGAACACATCTGCATTGATGTACACCTCAGAAAAAAGAAGCTGTAACCCTGATCTCCTCACTGGGGATATTATATCATTAAAAGGGGACGTTAGCTGTTCCCGTGTTTGGAGATAAATAGGAAAGTTTGTATTTATGAATTCTTCGTCTGATATTTTGCCCGAATCTCTAAATGCCTTCCATACCCGTGAAGCTAAAAGTAAAAATGATTTTGATGTGTATGTTTGTTCCCCAGTGGAAACATCAGTGTATTCACAACACACAGCAACGAACAATATGCCTCCTGGTATCAATTCCTTGCTCCTCATCACCAAAAACGTTTCCCAGGCTTCCCCTCCTGCCTTCATCATGGCTTCCTTCTCTTCATCACTGCTCTCAGGGTAGATGCATAAGGAATCTTTATAGGACAGTTGGTGCCTTGGGCAACCACTGAGCAGCAGCCACTGACATGACGAAGTGCATTGAATTTGACGGAACGCACTGTTTGTGGAAATGAACACCGCTCGCATGAGCATAAACATTAGGAAGGTCTTTAAGGTAAGAAGGCGGATCTGGAATGATACCCGCTAGTCGTCTAAACAGTGAGTTGAAGTCATTAAGCTCTTGATCTTCGTGGATCACACGAAACTCCATCCCTGGACCATGATGGTCCTGGAGGACCTTCAACAGGTCAGTCATGAACGTCATGGACGTAGCGCCGTCAGCTGTGCCGTAGTCTCCGATGTTGAAAACATGACCTTCTTGTATGGGTATTGTCTTGATACTTTTGAGTAGTATGTCCCGGACTGGCTCAAAATAGATGGCATTTTGTTTTCCAAGTGAGGCTCCATAGCCCCCATTGCCAGTGGCTCCGTAAGAAGCAAATCCTCCTCTGTATCCATGGCTACATCTAAGCGGATGAGGTGCGGGATGAACTAATGAAATCAATCCCAGAGTTGTATATCGGCTGCACATAAGTGGTCTGTACATAATCTCTAAATAAGCTTCCTGCTCTGTAAATAATCTTCCGCTACTGTTTCATATGCTGGACTTACTGGAACAGAAAAGAGTATATTTATATTTTTGAAAAACAGTTGAAAGCATACAGTATACAATTGTAAATAACACTAGCCATGGATGAATTCCATTGGGATCATAGCATCCTGGCACGCCTAAGGGAGGCAACACAGCAAATACTTCAGCAAGTGTTACCATATGCCTGTACAGACCTCAAGAGAAGTTACGCGTTTTAGAAGTAAGTTTCATTTTCCCTTTGCATATCTCCGTGGCGGTGATATATGTATAACCAACAATAGTTATATTCATGTTCATAATGATAATATTAATGAATTCCTACTGATGTCTCCGCTTCCTCTAACGAAAGAAGCAGATCGTCACAATGACGTAACATTAAAGCTTTTGACTATTTTTTCACAATTTGCTTTCTTTACGGAAAGTACATTTATCACTCACCTTTCTTACATTGTGTTTAGCGAAACTATGTTATTTATCGCACAATCATTAACATGATCAGAAAAATATAAAAGTATCCGAGATGAATAAAGCAAATTATCTTGAATAAACAATTGTCAGAATTGGATTTGCAAGCTCTGGTTCTTTAACCGTAATGGTTTAGGGATAATTAGTACTCAACGTATAGAATTTCTTAAAACGTGTTACTGAGAGAGTCTCAGTTACAAGCGCTGATGAGCATCGTCCACATCTGGTGGTTAAATATCAATAATTATTGGGCTCACAATTTGACAACATTACAAACTTAATAAGTATGGTTACAAATTCATGTTTTACCTCAGTCTTTATTGAAACATGTTTTGTAATATTACGCAGCCACAGAGGACTGTGATTTTTCACAAGCTATTGTAGGATTGAGTGATGGTTCAATTAAATTTAACAACCGTTCTTTCAGTTTTCAAATACATAAATAAATACGAATACTTTCTTTGCCAGGTAACATGTTTAACATGTAATTAATTAATCAGCAGAGAAGCCTATTGTGGAAACATTTGGAGGTGGGTCATCGTGATTAAACACACCTACATATTGAAAACCGAACGCGTTAATAAACAGTACGTATTTAGTTTAAGTCAAAGGAATTAACCTAAAACAGAAAAATAAACAAGAGAACACAAGCACGACCTACCTCCGAGAAGAAAGTCCAATCATCTGTTTCATCAAATCACTAAAAACTCCCCAGTCTCTATAGAACATAAGGAGTCAACAATGTAACTATAAAATGCGAGAGAAGCGCATTAACCAAGGAAATGGGATATGCCAGCGTGCCCACATCTGTCTGCTTCTCTTCTATCAATGCTCCATTAACTCCATGACCAGTAACATGAGGTGTAAATGGCAGAATTATCCGTTGTTAATCTCAAAGCGCCATGCGTCCACACTATCACGTAATATACAGAGGCTGGCTGAGTGCATTTTCGTGATTTTACAACGGAACTAGTTAATCCATTTATTTTAGCATACCAGCAGTCGTCCCTAAATCCAGATGGTACATCCATGTCAACGATAAGAGCGCTGAGATGTTAAACCGTACCCTAGAAAGAAGCCTTGCGCGTAGGCTGTACTGAATGCTAAGCCCATGGAGGCATAGTAATTCTATCCTTAAAAAGGCAAGTCAGGATAGGCGGACGGTACACCAGTCTGAGGGACAATGCTTATTTATGTTTTAGAAATTATTTAAGCCGTTAATTATTACCTTAGAGGCTTGTGCAAGTCTAGCTAGTAATCAACAGCCACTATGTCCTTCATTTATATACAGAGGTCATCCCAGTTTCCTTGGGATGATAATATTCCCTTTTACTGTTAGGAATAACAACTGTATTAACGAGTCTTTGTTCAGTAGGTCGCATATAATTCGCTATGTCATCGCAATGGTAAATTATTCATCGATTGTAATGCCACACCGACCTGTTTAATCTGTCGTGATCATACTGTTTGTTGTTTGTTTCACATTATTGACGTACGATGAGTTCTACTTCGAAATTTATTTCGCGAGATTAAACAGTCCATCCGCCATGTTGTATTATGCAAGGGCATGCAACCCTCTCTTGTCAGGATGTCGCTATTTACATATAGGTTACACAAAACCAATTATTTTCCCTTTGACTTCTATGGTGTTGCAAGGGTGGGGCATTACAATGACCAGTTGCGGGTGTGTTGAGGTGACATTTATTCTATATTTAATCAGTCAATCAATCGATCAGACAATCACCCTGTAATAATACATCAAGAATTGGATGTTTTATTTCAGTATAAAGTTAGCAGGGGGCGGTGGGGTAGCCTAGTGGTTAAAGTGTTCGCTCGTCACGCCAAAGTCCCGGGTTCGATTCCCCATATGGGTGCAATACGTGAAGCCCATTCCTGGTGTTCCCCGCCGTGATATTGCTGGAATATTGCTAAAAGCGGCGAAAAACTAAACTCACTCACTAAAGTTTGCAGATTACATTCGTGAAAATACACGTTTAATTTTTGGGAGAGTATGTTTTAAAAATCAGCACAACTCACCCCTCCCCACCTCAGCTCAAGAAGGCACTAGAGTGCACAACTGTGTTTCTCTGAATCATTATACGCCACGGAGAAAATATCAATGAATACTAAATGAGGTGCGTAGCGGCGTTAACGTTCATACAATACATTTGCCATTTAATAGTTTCAGCCTTCATTTCATGAAACTGTACTCCCGTGTACTAACACACCCTCGCATACATACTGGCATATACTCACATATACTGATATGTACTAACACACATACAACACATACTGGCATATAATCACATATATTGATATGTACTAACATACATACAACACATACTGGCATATACTCACATATACTGATATGTACTAACATACATACAACACATACTGGCATATACTCACATATACTGATATGTACTAACATACATACAACACATACTGGCATATACTCACATATACTGATATGTACTAACATACATACAACACATACTGGCATATACTCACATATACTGATATGTACTAACATACATACAACACATACTGGCATATACTCACATATACTGATATGTACTAACATACATACAACACATACTGGCATATACTCACATATACTGATATGTACTAACATACATACAACACACATACTGGCATATACTCACATATACTGATATGTACTAACATACATACAACACATACTGGCATATACTCACATATACTGATATGTACTAACATACATACAACACATACTGGCATATACTCACATATACTGATATGTACTAACATACATACAACACATACTGGCATATACTCACATATACTGATATGTACTAACATACATACAACACATACTGGCATATACTCACATATACTGATATGTACTAACATACATACAACACATACTGGCATATACTCACATATACTGATATGTACTAACATACATACAACACATACTGGCATATACTCACATATACTGATATGTACTAACATACATACAACACATACTGGCATATACTATACATATGTACTAACATATGTACTAACATACATACATACACTCACATATACTGATATGTACTAACATACATACTGGCATATACTCACATATACTGATATGTACTAACATACATACAACACATACTGGCATATACTCACATATACTGATATGTACTAACATACATACAACACATACTGGCATATACTCACATATACTGATATGTACTAACATACATACAACACATACTGGCATATACTCACATATACTGATATGTACTAACATACATACAACACATACTGGCATATACTCACATATACTGATATGTACTAACACACATACTGGCATATACTCATATATACTGATATGTACTAACATACATACAACACATACTGGCATATACTCACATATACTGATATGTACTAACATACATACAACACATACTGGCATATACTCACATATACTGATATGTACTAACATACATACAACACATACTGGCATATACTCACATATACTGATATGTACTAACATACATACAACACATACTGGCATATACTCACATATACTGATATGTACTAACATACATACAACACATACTGGCATATACTCACATATACTGATATGTACTAACATACATACAACACATACTGGCATATACTCACATATACTGATATGTACTAACATACATACAACACATACTGGCATATACTCACATATACTGATATGTACTAACATACATACAACACATACTGGCATATACTCACATATACTGATATGTACTAACATACATACAACACATACTGGCATATACTCACATATACTGATATGTACTAACATACATACAACACATACTGGCATATACTCACATATACTGATATGTACTAACATACATACAACACATACTGCACATATACTCACATATACTGATATGTACTAACATACATACAACAACACATACTGGCATATACTCACATATACTGATATGTACTAACATACATACAACACATACTGGCATATACTCACATATACTGATATGTACTAACATACATACAACACATACTGGCATATACTCACATATACTGATATGTACTAACATACATACAACACATACTGGCATATACTCACATATACTGATATGTACTAACACACATACAACACATACTGGTATATACTCACATATACTGATATGTACTAACATACATACAACACATACTGGCATATACTCACATATACTGATATGTACTAACATACATACAACACATACTGGCATATACTCACATATACTGATATGTACTAACATACATACAACACATACTGGCATATACTCACATATACTGATATGTACTAACATACATACAACACATACTGGCATATACTCACATATACTGATATGTACTAACATACATACAACACATACTGGCATATACTCACATATACTGATATGTACTAACATACATACAACACATACTGGCATATACTCACATATACTGATATGTACTAACATACATACAACACATACTGGCATATACTCACATATACTGATATGTACTAACATACATACAACACATACTGGCATATACTCACATATACTGATATGTACTAACATACATACAACACATACTGGCATATACTCACATATACTGATATGTACTAACATACATACAACACATACTGGCATATACTCACATATACTGATATGTACTAACATACATACAACACATACTGGCATATACTCACATATACTGATATGTACTAACATACATACAACACATACTGGCATATACTCACATATACTGATATGTACTAACATACATACAACACATACTGGCATATACTCACATATACTGATATGTACTAACATACATACAACACATACTGGCATATACTCACATATACTGATATGTACTAACATACATACAACACATACTGGCATATACTCACATATACTGATATGTACTAACATACATACAACACATACTGGCATATACTCACATATACTGATATGTACTAACATACATACAACACATACTGGCATATACTCACATATACTGATATGTACTAACATACATACAACACATACTGGCATATACTCACATATACTGATATGTACTAACATACATACAACACATACTGGCATATACTCACATATACTGATATGTACTAACATACATACAACACATACTGGCATATACTCACATATACTGATATGTACTAACATACATACAACACATACTGGCATATACTCACATATACTGATATGTACTAACATACATACAACACATACTGGCATATACTCACATATACTGATATGTACTAACATACATACAACACATACTGGCATATACTCACATATACTGATATGTACTAACATACATACAACACATACTGGCATATACTCACATATACTGATATGTACTAACATACATACAACACATACTGGCATATACTCACATATACTGATATGTACTAACATACATACAACACATACTGGCATATACTCACATATACTGATATGTACTAACATACATACAACACATACTGGCATATATACTCACATATACTGATATGTACTAACATACATACAACACATACTGGCATATACTCACATATACTGATATGTACTAACATACATACAACACATACTGGCATATACTCACATATACTGATATGTACTAAAATACATACA